AAAAATGCAAAAATTACTAGTTTCCACTTGATGATAAAATGTATGAGTGCTTTTAGTGTTTTCATTGATGTGCAGCATGTACATATCTGTTAATATCTAAAAAAAAACAAGTGTTTTGGGGTTTCATGACCCTTTATACTAGGTGTAAACAGAGCCTATGCTGATTTGGTGCTCAAACATTTTTTTTTTTTTCAAAACAGCTTTGATTAATAAAAAGCTTCAAAATAACCACATTTATTTGTAATATCAATATTTTGTAGCAATGTAAAAGTCTTTTTAAAAGTCTCTTGTAATGTAATGCATCCTTGCTGAACAAAAGTATTAATTTATCAGATAAATAACAAAAATATAAATCAGAATGTGTATATTGTTTACTAATTGTGCCAATTGTGTGAATTATGTATTCTGTACATTGTGCTTTACATTGTTGTGGACCAAACTCAAGATTTTCATACTTTCATACTTTTATACTGTGACCAAATCTACAGTGAAGATTTTTTTTTTTTATCTCCCCCTCTAGTGTGTCTTGTTACTCTATTCACACAAACACACATTCATCAGCTCCAGCTCACACTGAGACCAAACATGTAACACACCCTTAACTGGCCACCAGAACCCTGTGTTCATTTTATCTGCGTGTTTCTGTAAACAATGGCTCTTGAGAAGCCATACACTGTAAGTCCTCCAAAGCAAACTCAGCTAGACTATGATGGATCTCAGAGTGTGGAGAAACCCTCAGCATCACGAAGGCCCTCATTCTTCAGAGATGTTATAAGTGTGGCAATATTTATCTTTCCATGACAGAGCTTTGCAAGTGGAACCACCATATCTCTAATTTTACCAAAAATACTTGCTATTTACAATACTGTACCATTCTATAAAAAATGCACATTAACATTTGTGCAACAGTTATAATATGCAAAACTACATTTACATAGAAATTATGCAAAAATACATTTACACAGTAAAATAATCTTGCTGTCTAATCTTGTTGGCCTATGTATTTGCATTTTTTTGCGGTTTACAGTGAGTGATAATGCAAACACACATAGAGGGGTAAAGTAAGTTTGTTTACATGCACTTCAAAAGTTTAAATTCAGTCAGACTATAAAGCAAAAATGTGTCTTTTTAAAATGTTATATAAATCTTTAGTCGGACTGAAATGAATCTGTTTTATGCATAGACCTAGATATTTTGATTGTAGATCAGCTTCATCCAGGATGTATACATATTCAGACAATAACAATGTAAATGCATTTAGTTTAACATTTAAAATATTTTTTTTCTGAACACTAAATATCTGTGAAATTCTGTGGAATGTGCACTATAGCGTGGTTTGGGGTCGGTAAGAAAAAACGTAATATTGTAAAATATTATTACAATTTAAAATAACTGTTATATATATATTAATATAGTTAAAATGTAATTTATTCCTGTGATGAAAAGTGGATTTTTTTAACTGTCGTTATTCCAGTCTTTAGTGTCACATGATCCTTCAGAAATCGTTCTGATGCTGATTTAGAAACATTTGTTATTGTTTTCAATGTTAAAAACAGTTGTGCTGCTTAATATTTTTGTGGAAACTGTGATACATTATTTACAAGATTCTTTGATGAAAATAAATGTCAAAAGGACATCATTTGGATTTTTTTCCTTTCTGTCATTTTTTATCAATTTAACGCATCTTTGCTGAATAAAAGTATTAATTTATTTTTCAAAAAATCGTACTGACCTCAAACTTTTGAACAGTAATGTATTTAAAAGTTTTGTGCATGTAAGCATGTGTGTCATATACATGCAAAACATGCAGACATGCATTAGCTGCCATTCGTATCACTGACACCCCCCTTTTTGTTTTTTTGCATTCCCTTTCTCTGCCATCTCTTTAAAGTCAAATGCACAAAGACACACACACACACACACACACACACACCTGTGCTCAGTCACACACTTCCTGTTACTCAAACATGCTGTTTGAATTAATCATTCATAATTCACACGCTGATAGTGAAGCTGTCTTTATTTCATCCTTGAGGCAGTGTGGAGTGTGTGAGAGTCTGTGTGTGTGTATCGAGAGAGGTGGGGGAGAGCAATCCGAAGCGCAAACCCAGTGACCTATACTGCAGGACGCACCTCCCCACTGGGTGGAAACTTTCTGGAGGCCATGCTGGGAAAACAAGAGCCAGAGATGGAAAAGACTTCAAGAGCAAGGGGCTACAGAGATAATTCACATATTCACATGCATTGTCTTTTTCTCTTCCCTTCGAAAGTGGGGCCTCTTATATTTACTTCAGTAGACTACGGCCTGGGTCAAACTGACAAATTTTATTAAAAAATCTCACCAATCCCAGCTATGCATGGAATTCTTTTTAATAACCAATGGCACATCCTTGAGGAAACACTAAGCTTGATAGTGTGCTTAGCAGGGACAGCATCCACTCTCTCCCTCTGAACCCTTCAGGCTCTACAGTGAGGTGTTGATGAACATGGAGAGACACAGAGAATTCCACAGACAAGTGGTGTGGCCTGCACTTCTGGGGGTCATGGATGGAGCACGGTTGTTGCTATTCCTTCCTCTGAGAAATCATACCAGTAGGGGCAAAATCAGAGATAAAGCCAATAAGGAGACACACAACTTACTACGCACAGGTAGTGCAAAAGATTATCGTGTGAATAGAAAAAAAGGGTAATTAAATTAATTTAAACACATGAGCATCTTAAAGGGTTAGATCACCCAAAAATGAAAATTATGTCATTAATGACTCACCCTCATGTCGTTCCAAGCCCGTAAGACCTCCGTTCATCTTCGGAACACAGTTTAAGATATTTTAGTCCGAGAGCTTTCTGTCCCTCCATTGAAAATGTATACACGGTATACTGTCCTTGTCCAGAAAGGAAATACAGACATCATTAAAGTATTCCATGTGACATCAGTGGGTTAGTTAGAATGTTTTGAAGCATCGAAAATACATTTTGGTCCAAAAATAACAAAAACTACGACTTTATTCAGCATTGTATTCTCTTCCGGTTCTGTTGTCAATATGCGTTCAGTGATGTCAGAGTCATTAATGACATAATTTTGATTTTTGGGTGAACTAACCCTTTAAAGGAGTAGTTCACTTTAACCCTCATGTTGTGTTTGGGTCATTTTGACCTGGAGAAGATTTTCTTTTTCCCGAAAATACTAGTTAATGTTATCGCATTGGACTGAAACTAGTGACTTTGTTCACAAAGGGTATAACTACTTCTCAAATGTTATTTGACAATTTTCATACTTTTTTTTGTCGGGGGTTGGGTAGCGTGTGCATGTATCCACACATGCACAGGTCCAAGGGCTCGATGTTTGCAAGCACACATGGACAAATGTGTGAACATAATGAACATGCTCCTGAAAACTAAATGTTTCTCTTATTTTCAGTCTCTCCCATTCACTTCCAATGGGCCATTGAAACAATGGTCCTCAATGGCCCATTGGAACAATGGAACAAGTGTGACTATGTGCCATTTTGTACAAAATAAAAGTTTTTCAAAACAAAAATTATTCAGAAATAATGCTTTTTTTACTCAAAAAATGAGATGCCTACTCTCAGATAAATGAGGCCTACGATTAATCAGATGCAAATAGAAATATAAAACCAGTCCTAATTGAAAGAAAACAAGTTGACAAACAGATTGAATCCAATATTGGGTGATAATATAGCATAACAAGTGATTTATAAGCTATTTTTTATTGGCCGGTCATTTTTGACAGGGAACATCAAAAGTGTTATAGGGTTTTGAACACCACACAAGGATTAAAATTAAATAGACTATGTGCACGTTAGCTTATGCTACTTCCGGCTGCGAAACCGATAGGGGGTGTCTAGTTTCCGGTAGCCTGATGGACGACGTAGAGGATGTATATTTCTCCAGATGTCTTGGACATTTGCCGAATATTACTGTCGATGATGTTCATCGACTGGTTAGTGATTTTTCTCCAGCTCCCCAGAGCAAGAGAGAGAAGGGGTTTAAATATTACATCTCTCAGTATTTGCATAATTTTGAAGGTAAGTCACAACAACATCCATGCTACGTGCTCAAGCTATGCTATCTGGTAACTGTTATGTTATATCTCTTTATACAGTATACTTCTATTTAGTCGAAATCATGCGTTAGATAGTGCATTTTCCCGAACAGTTTGTGTTAGCCATTGTTTTGTTTATGATGTTCGGAGGCTATGTTGTTGACAACCACTTTTACACATGTCATACAGGGAGTAAAGGTATCCGACGTTGGTTCGTTCGTTATCAAGTTAGGCTGTTTTCACACACATTTCTAGACAGGTCTCCCTTGCAAAATAGGTTCTAACCCCAGGGGTTTCTCCTGGTTAAAGGGTATAATATAATAATAATAATAAATAATTAGTAGCCTAAAAACTTCCGTCTAGTTGTCATGGATACGCAACGCTCCACTCTGTAAAGCGACTGCTTGAGTGCGGTGACAAAAAGCAGATGTGAAACATTGTTTACTTTTCACAATGCAGCAGCGCCTAGCTCCACCCAAATATGTGTGAAAACTATGTTGATTGACTTGACCAAACGAACATAGTTTTAGATAAATGTATTTAGATAGCTAAGCTTTAGATAGCTTGACAACAATATGTTCCTATTACAGTTGCTAATTATTATACTTACCAACTAACTTGCATGTTATTCTATTGCTAACTTGCTAATATTGTTATTTTTCTGCAGTGTCTGAGAAAGATCAGGGCTCAGGAGAGGTGGTTGTCAGGGCAGAGTGCTTCAGGTCCATGAGGAAAGCTGAGAAACCTCATAAGCTCAGAGTATGGTTACAGTCAGCAGCAGTGTGAAATTATGTTCAGTATACAAATAGTAGTAGGCCTAATGTTGGGTAGGGTATTGTTAGGCTGAAGGGTATTGATGGACGTAGGGTATTGTTATTTTTTCTAGGATCATGTCAGTCTGTCATCATGTCAAGGGGGTGTTCAGACAGGCTTTTTTTAAAGAAATTAGTAATACTGTCAAGGGATATGCATTGATTACATTAAATACATTGATATGTTTTACTTAATAGGTTGTCCTAAAAGATTTGCAGCCTGTGCAACTTCTGCACTTCTGCTGCACCTGCAAGGCTGGGAAAGCTTTATGCAACCATTGTGTAGCTCTTCTGTTTCAATCTGCACACTATTCGCAATTGAAACTCCAAGTTGTTCCCCCAATATTAAGCTGCACTGAAGGTGAACAACAGTGGCATAAGCCTAGAGTTATGGTGAGTTCAATCAATCAAATTGTATTTATAAAGCGCTTTTCATAAATACATTGTACCTGCTTTACAGTGGATTAAAAAAATCCTACTTGCCTACATTCTCTATTTATTTTTCACTATATTGACATAGGGGATAAAGCCGGGCCCTGTTGACAAGATGGCTGTGATCTCAGCCAAACCGAAAACAAGAAAGACCACAGAGGGAGTGCGGTAAGTGCTCCATTTATGGGATTTCAGAAAACAACATTCCATTGGACAATAGCATTTAAAACCAGTGGGGGGAAACTGAAATTATTATTGTTACAAGGTAGGTTCTATGTGTTTTACATCTAGTGAGTTATAGGTCCAACCAATTTCATGAATGAATGATACTACTTAAAATGTGTCAAATCCTTCTGCAGGTGTCTTTTAAGTTGGCCAAAGCAGGCACACTTTAAATCATGAAATTCAATTTTATTATTAATTCTGATGACCTGTCACTGTACTGGTTATTGTATCTATTTCCAGAATGCTCTTCCCCTGAAGCAAAATGTATTACAATGTTGCAGATTTTTAGTGTGTGTGTGTGTGTGTTTTCTAACATACAGGAGTAAACTGTACAAAGGCCTTCATGGGGAACTTCCTGACCTCTCAGTTCTTCGGGTGTCTGAGGTGTTCAAAGATTTTGCTGATGCTGACCGCCCTATGATCTGCAGCATGGGAATAAGTGAGGATATCCCACTTGTGGACTCACTGTTCGGCAAGGTGCAACATGGAAGTCCCCTTTCTTATCAGCAACCTGCCAAAGAGAAAGCAAAGACTCTTCATGATGCTCCACCTCCTCCATCATTGCCACTGCAAGGCTACAGACTTGACCCATCAGAGTGCATGTTTGTCTGTTCCAGGAAGCAACAGCTGCACATGAAAAGTCTCGAGGTTACCCTGGAATTGGCCCAGAAGATTGAATGTGCTACGCGAGAGCAGAGTTTGTGTGCCGATTGGTACAATGTACGGAAACCACGGGTGACTGCATCTCGTTTTAGAGAGATCTGCCATGTGGGCAAGGCCTCTGAAGAGGGACTTGCTGAACGCATTCTAAGAGGTACTCACCAGACAGGGCCTATGAAGAGGGGTTTGGAGTTGGAGGCAGATGCGATCTGGGAATATTGCCAGATAAAACGTGTGAACCACTACAAATGTGGGTTTGTGGTACAACCGGATGCACCATGGATTGGTGCCTCACCAGATGGGGTTGTTTTTGACCCCTTGGAGCAGCCTCAGTTTGGCCTTGTGGAAATAAAATGTCCAAACATTCCAAATTATGTAGATGCACCTTATCTCAAGGTCATCAATGGCTCATTGCAGCTCAAACCAACTCATGCCTATTATTGGCAAGTTCAGGGCCAACTACTTGTCACCGGTATGAGTTGGTGTGATTATGTCGTCTCCGCTCAAGATGATGTTTTCATACAAAGAATAAAGAGGGATGAGAGTGTGATGGAAAAAATGAAGCGTGGGATAGATAAGTTCTACTTTCACGTGTACATGGACAAATACCTGGCAGTGGCGTAAATTGGTTGCTTGTCATTCCTGAGTTTTGGGCACATTTTTACAGAAGACTCCTTTAAATCTGTTATTACCTTGCATACTTACCTTGATCATTTCTCATATTATAAATGTTAATTTGTGCCTTTGTATGCATTGTTATTGAAGGGCAGTGACACTTTCATGTTAACCATTTATGAAATTGAAGTTTGTCAAATACAGTTCACTTGAAATCTATTGTGTGTTTTTGCTTTCTGAAGAACAGAGAAATGGTCTTTGCATTTTTACAAAATCTATCAAATCAAATCAAAATGTATTTATAAAGCAGCTTATAACAACGCTTAGGTTGACCAAAGTGCTTTACAACTGTGAAACCCACAAAAACAGATAATACAGAACAAAGCTGTAGACAACACTGTAAAAGTAAAGCAGTTTTATTCGCAGAGTAACAGCAAATCATTTCCAAAACTATATGAGTATTGTTAAACATCCTGTGATGTGTTATTGACCTTTATTTTGCCAGGAGAGTGTGGTGTCAAAGTTCATTATAGAATGGATTAGGAAATCCATCCACCAGAAAATCAGACCATCCATTTCTTGACCAGGGGTCCGGACTGATAATTAGTGAGGAGACATGCAACAGTAAAAAGTTGGTTTATATTCCCACAAATGGAGAGAGGGATGACCGTGTCAAAAAGTTTGTTCTCTTTGACCCTCCTAATGAGCCTCTCGACGTGGACTCTCAGACGTGCAATGGCCTGGGTTTTAAGGACGTCCACCTCAGACATTTGATCCTGTTTGGACATAAAAGCTGGGCGATGCACTTTCCCGGAAACTAGCTCATCTATCAGAAATCCCTTGTCTACCATAACTTCCATGTCGGGTGTTAGGAGGGAGGTGATGCCAGTGTGACGAAAAATCTCCTTGTCACTGATGGAGCCTTCAAAAAGTGCTGACACAAATGTCAATGCTCCATGGGGGGACATGCCAATAAGCGCTTTGAATGTACAGTGCGACTTGTATGTGGAAAATACCTCACTTTGGAGCAGAAGGGAGGTAGGGGTTTGGCACCTCATTTCTGTGCAGTCAAGGATGACCTGGGTGTTTTCATAAGTCCCATGGAAATCTGTGGGGCAGTTTGCTCTCACTGATCCGCTTGTCATCCATATCGAGAGAGATCCAAGTAAAGTATATAGAAAGTTGGACCACGTCACAACTATTCGACTCACTGTAGCTCTGTGGATGTTGAACTTGTGAGCAAGTTCCCTTTGTGTACAGCCGGTTGATAGATAGTTAAGGAAGAGGAAGAGCTCGTCAATTGGCAGCAATTTCTGGGGAAAATAGTTACCGTATTATTAATAGATAGAAACACTATACAACAAAGATAAAATACACAAACTAAGGTGATTAAAATATGCAGTGCATGTGGGGGTGTATGTAATCTAAAATTTGTAAACTTTAGTCGCTTGCACAGACAACAAGAGTGCCAGAGCAAGCAAAAAACAAAACACAGCTAACAGTGCAAAATGTGTAATTCACATGGACCAAGCTGGTAGTATATTATTGTAGAACTTACTGTTGATCTGTTCATAGGGCTCTCAGTGGATGTACTGGTGGAAAGGTTCTTCTGACCACTGGTGACTCTCACCATTCTGCTCGTTGCCTCTTGGATTAGATTCCAAAAGGCCATGAAATGCTCATATGATGGAAATCTGCATACAAACAGCACATATCATATAGTTTTTCTGGTAACACTTTACAATACGGGTGCACTAATAAGCATTAATTCATGCTTAACTAATGCACAGATAATACTGAATTAATGTGTAACTAATGATTATCTAAGCTATTCATTAATGATTACCACATTAGGAACTAATTAAGAGTCTGTATGGTTAATGTATTAGTTCATACATGAATTGTTATTAATTAAATATGTAATTGTGGATTAATTCCCTAATAACTCATTTTTTTTAACTTATAGTGTTAAGTAATATGTTACTTACCAGAATGAGCCAAAGCCTTGTATTTCAACTTCCAGATAATACAGGTACACTAATATGCATGAATACATGATTAATTACTTCATTGTTAGTGCAATAATAAAATATGTTATTAAGGAATTAATACACAATGACACATTGAATTAATAGCAATTCATGTATTACTTAATCTATTAATCATATAGACTCTTTATTAGTTGCTGATGCAGTAATAATTAATTAATGGTTTAGTTCTTCATGAGTCATACATTAACTCATGATTATCTGTGCATTAGTTAAACATGAATTAATGCATATTTGTGCACCCGTATTGTAAAGTGTTACCGTTTTTCTATTGATGGCATTCAGATTACATCAAAACATTCTCAAGTTGTGAACATGGAATCTAGCGTTGTTTTCTCTTGATCTGTTAATTATATTTCCTTCATTATATTTTATTCTTCTTTACTGAAACACACAGTCACAATCCACACACATCAGACACTCACCACACACGCATTGTATGGAACCGTAAAAATCCTTACTAGCCAAACTATTATACAACTTTAAAGCTAATCACATCACCGGCTGCTGATGATAAGTTTTTTATTGCCTCGTCAGCGGAGATGAGGCTGACTTTGTTGGAAGGGATAGATCTGTCCCGTGACATGTATGTATATATTAATAAAATATGTATTATTTAAAGAACAAAGAAAAGAAAATACACCAAATGTGATAGTGTGAATTCTCTGATTTCTTACCTGGTATAGTACCGAAAGTCATCAGGTGATGTGGCAAACCGCTGCAACCCAAATCTCTCCAAATGATGAGACTCGAGCTGCCTTGTGAGCTCCTCGATCTGCCTTGACATGTTCTCAAATTTCATCCGGTCGACCACGATGAAAGAGCTGCCTGTGTAATCGTGGTCTTGCATCAGGGGTGTCGGAGCCAACTCAGCACAACCAGAGACAGGTGTGTTTTCATCCACCTCAGTCACCATGTCCACGGTGCAGTCATCCTCTGGAGCGCGGTCCAAAGCCTGGGTTGCTCGAGGGCGGCGCTCCCAAACTCCGGGTCGCTGGGGTTTTTTAGTGTAATTATTCCAACCGAACAAGGATGGAACTGCCTTAGGTCGAAGACAACGCTTTCCAGAAGAAGATATTACTATCTCTTCTTGCTCAAAGTGCCGACTGCACACTCTAGAGTTGGTGGTGGGGGTGAAACCTTCCCTTCTGATTGTAACAAGCCACTGGGCGCGTAAATTAAGTTCCTTTGGGAAACTATGGAAGCTCAAGGTTGTGTTGAATCTCCCCCCGGCGGTACATAGTGGCACGCAGCAATGGTGGTTATTCCCACCGACTGCCCTTTGAAAAGTAAATCTTTTTTTTTTATGTTTTAGGTCCATTACGAACGATTAAACTAACTTAACGCCGGTCCACTGATGTAAACAAGACGGCAACCGGAAACGAAGTACCCAACTTCCGCCCTCAAGCCGGAAGTTAGCATTTTTCTCGTGCACAGAGCGAATTACCCCATGATTTACTCACCCTCAAGCCATCCTAGGTGTATATGACTATGACGCACTACGCTACTTCTGACCTTATACAAAGTTGTGCTTTAGACGCAAGTACTGCACATGGCCGTTTGGCCGGAAGCTAGAATTTTACTTTGTAATGTGTTAAATATGAATATTTTTCTTACACAAACTCATCGCTTTGCTTCAGAAGGCCTTTATTAACCCCCTGGAGCCGTTTGGAGTTTGTTTATGATGGAAGGATGCACATTTTTGAGCTTTAAACTGATGGTTGCAATCCACTGCCATTATAAAGCTCTGAAGGGTTAGGGTGTTTATTAAAACCCTTAATAGCTGGGAAGGAATACGTGAAAAATCATGAAGATTGGGCACTTCTGGAAAAGTTTTTGATTTTTGGCAGGTTGTTGAGCCCGAGCAGTCAGTCCTGTTGAGCCTGAGCTGCTTCACGTCAGTCCTGCCAAGCCTGCACTTCACGTCAGTCCTGCCGAGCCTACGCATCACGCCGTGGCCACCAAACCTGAGACTGTTCACGTCATGCCTGCCGCACAAGAGACTGTTCACGTCGTGCCTGCCACACAAGATGTCATGATTCACGTCTGTGTTCCCCTGTCTTGTCCCATGTTAGCAGTTCCCCGTTATGTTGATTAGTCTCCCCAGGTGTTTCTTATTAGCCACGCCCCCTTGTTATCTTGTTTAGCTTGTTTGCCTGTGTATTTAAATCTCTGTGCTTCAGTTGTTGTTTGTCGGTCATTGTAGATGTAGCTGTTCCTTGTTCCTGTCCCGAGTTCGGTTGTTTGCCCTGGATTTCCTGTTTGTTTGTTTCAGTAGTGCTTGCATGTGGGTTCTCTCTCCGCTTTGTCTTTGCCTCACCGTTACACCTTGTATCAAACAAAATAGAAAAAAATTACATTATACAACAATTTAAGACTAAAGGAAGCTGAGATATAACCTGTTCTCTTTTCGGCGGGGGCCAATTTGGATTTTATGGATAACTGCCACTAGGGGGACCACCCCAACTTGTATCCATTGATTTTTGAAAACCTTAGGCCTATACCTAACACCCTGCCAAAAATCAAAAACTTTTCCAGAAGTGCCCAATTTTCATGAATTGCATCCTAGCTATAAAGACCTATACGGCCGCCGGCGGCAAAAAATAACTGTTGTTCTTAAATGTTTAAGAACTTTTGAACCGCTACTCCAATCCGTATGCTTTAAAAAGTCCCATAAAGAGGAGATTCACGGCTTTTCTGTGATATCGGGTTATTCGCGTTTGGACATTCAGAAGCTCCGTAGTGAATGTGATTGCGTCATCAAGTTTTGATCATAGACAGTATAAGAAGTGGACAGAGCCATCTCATTGGAACTCAGTTGAGACAGTTGAAGCCCATTTTTAGCGATTTTTGAGCACTTCCGTTCCTGACGCGCAGACTCAAACCGACTCAAACTAAGCTTGATGACGTGAGCAACCTGTCTGACAGACGTTAATCCTCTAGTAGCTGTGTGTGAAATTGCCAACGTTAATCTTGCAGAGACGGGGAACTTGAGCAAAGAGTTCTTTGGCGTGAGTGAGCAGGAGTAAGTATTCCGTTGCTTTTATGGACTCATTATCTATGGGCTTCTCCCTTGACGGGACGTCCCCCCGATTGCCTGCGAGCTTCTCCTCCTGTCTGTACGGTAATTTCTGTACAGCGCGACAGAGAGTCGAGTGGTTATGA